TGAATTCCTGGAAGTTTCAAGTTGCTGAGATTCCTAGAAGTATTTTTGAAAAAATTCCAAAGTTGATTTATTAAGAATTTTACAAGGATTTTTTAAAAAATTCATAATTCTGTTTCTGAGGCTCAGATTGACTTCAGAATTATTATATTTAAAGAAGATACTTCAATTATGAATTCCTGGAAGTTTCAAGTTGCTGAGATTCCTGGAAGTATTTTTGAAAAAATTCCAAAGTTGATTTTAAAGTTGATTTATTAAGAATTTTACAAGGATTTTTTTAAAAATTCATAATTCTGTTTCTGAGGCTCAGATTCACTTCAGATTTATTATATTTAAAGAAGAAACCTCAATTATGAATTCCTGGAAGTTTCAAGTTGCTGAGATTCCTGAAAGTATTTTTGAAAAAATTCCAAAGTTGATTTATTTTAAGAATTTTACAAGGATTTTTTAAAAAATTCATAATTCTGTTTCTGAGGCTCAGATTGACTTCAGAATTATTATATTTAAGGAAGATACTTCAATTATGAATTCCTGGAAGTTTCAAGTTGCTCAGATTCCTGAAAGTATTTTTGAAAAAATTCCAAAGTTGATTTATTAAGAATTTTACAAGGATTTTTTTAAAAATTCATAATTCTGTTTCTGAGGCTAAGATTCACTTCAGATTTATTATATTTAAAGAAGGAAACCTCAATTATGAATTCCTGGAAGTTTCAAGTTGCTGAGATTCCTGAAAAGTATTTTTGAAAAAATTCCAAAGTTGATTTATTAAGAATTTTACAAGGATTTTTTTAAAAATTCATAATTCTGTTTCTGAGGCTCAGATTGACTTCAGATTTAATTATATTTAAAGAAGAAACCTCAATTATGAATTCCTGGAAGTTTTCAAGTTGCTGAGATTCCTGAAAGTATTTTTGAAAAAATTCCAAAGTTGATTTATTAAGAATTTTACAAGGATTTTTTTAAAAAATTCATAATTCTGTTTCTGAGGCTCAGATTGACTTCAGAATTATTATATTTAAGGAAGAAACCTCAATTATGAATTCCTAGAAGTTTCAAGTTGCTCAGATTCCTGAAAGTATTTTTGAAAAAATTCCAAAGTTGATTTATTAAGAATTTTACAAGGATTTTTTTAAAAATTCATAATTCTGTTTCTGAGGCTCAGATTGACTTCAGAATTATTATATCTAAAGAAGATATTTCAATTATGAATTCCTGGAAGTTTCAAGCTGCTCAGATTCCTAGAAATATTTTTGAAAAAAATTCAAAAGTTGAATTGTTAAAAATTTTACGAGGATTTTTTAAAAAATTCATAATTCCGTTTCTGAGGCTCAGATTCACTTCAGATTTATTATATTTAAAGAAGAGACCTCAATTATGAATTCCTAGAAGTTTCAAGTTGTTGAGATTCCTGGAAGTATTTTTGAAAAATTCCAAATTTGATTTGTTAAGAATTTTACAAGGATTTTTTTAAAAATTCATAATTCTGTTTCTGAGGCTCAGATTGATTTCAGAATTATTATATTTAAGGGGGGAAGATACTTCAATTATGAATTCCTGAAAGTTTCAAGTTGCTCAGATTCCTGAAAGTATTTTTGAAAAAATTCCAAAGTTGATTTATTAAGAATTTTACAAGGATTTTTTTAAAAATTCATAATTCTGTTTCTGAGGCTCAGATTGACTTCAGAATTATTATATTTAAGGAAGAAACCTCAATTATGAATTCCTAGAAGTTTCAAGTTGCTCAGATTCCTGAAAGTATTTTTGAAAAAATTCCAAAGTTGATTTATTAAGAATTTTACAAGGATTTTTTTTTAAATTCATAATTCTGTTTCTGAGGCTCAGATTGACTTCAGAATTATTATATTTAAGGAAGATACTTCAATTATGAATTCCTGGAAGTTTCAAGTTGCTGAGATTCCTAGAAGTATTTTTGAAAAAATTCCAAAGTTGATTTATTAAGAATTTTACAAGGATTTTTTAAAAAATTCATAATTCTGTTTCTGAGGCTCAGATTGACTTCAGAATTATTATATTTAAAGAAGATACTTCAATTATGAATTCCTGGAAGTTTCAAGTTGCTGAGATTCCTGGAAGTATTTTTGAAAAAATTCCAAAGTTGATTTATTAAGAATTTTACAAGGATTTTTTTAAAAATTCATAATTCTGTTTCTGAGGCTCAGATTCACTTCAGATTTATTATATTTAAAGAAGAAACCTCAATTATGAATTCCTGGAAGTTTCAAGTTGCTGAGATTCCTGAAAGTATTTTTGAAAAAATTCCAAAGTTGATTTATTAAGAATTTTACAAGGATTTTTTAAAAATTCATAATTCTGTTTCTGAGGCTCAGATTGACTTCAGAATTATTATATTTAAGGAAGAAACCTCAATTATGAATTCCTAGAAGTTTCAAGTTGCTGAGATTCCTGAAAGTATTTTTGAAAAAATTCCAAAGTTGATTTATTAAGAATTTTACAAGGATTTTTTTAAAAATTTCATAATTCTTGTTTCTGAGGCTCAGATTGACTTCAGAATTATTATATTTAAGGAAGAAACCTCAATTATGAATTCCTAGAAGTTTCAAGTTGCTGAGATTCCTGAAAGTATTTTTGAAAAAATTCCAAAGTTGATTTATTAAGAATTTTACAAGGATTTTTTTTTAAATTCATAATTCTGTTTCTGAGGCTCAGATTGACTTCAGAATTATTATATTTAAGGAAGATACTTCAATTATGAATTCCTGGAAGTTTCAAGTTGCTGAGATTCCTAGAAGTATTTTTGAAAAAATTCCAAAGTTGATTTATTAAGAATTTTACAAGGATTTTTTAAAAAATTCATAATTCTGTTTTCTGAGGCTCAGATTGACTTCAGAATTATTATATTTAAAGAAGATACTTCAATTATGAATTCCTGGAAGTTTCAAGTTGCTGAGATTCCTGGAAGTATTTTTGAAAAAATTCCAAAGTTGATTTATTAAGAATTTTACAAGGATTTTTTTAAAAATTCATAATTCTGTTTCTGAGGCTCAGATTCACTTCAGATTTATTATATTTAAAGAAGAAACCTCAATTATGAATTCCTGGAAGTTTCAAGTTGCTGAGATTCCTGAAAGTATTTTTGAAAAAATTCCAAAGTTTGATTTATTTTAAGAATTTTACAAGGATTTTTTAAAAAATTCATAATTCTGTTTCTGAGGCTCAGATTGACTTCAGAATTATTATATTTAAGGAAGATACTTCAATTATGAATTCCTGGAAGTTTCAAGTTGCTCAGATTCCTGAAAGTATTTTTGAAAAAATTCCAAAGTTGATTTATTAAGAATTTTACAAGGATTTTTTTAAAAATTCATAATTCTGTTTCTGAGGCTCAGATTGACTTCAGATTTATTATATTTAAAGAAGAAACCTCAATTATGAATTCCTAGAAGTTTCAAGTTGCTGAGATTCCTGAAAGTATTTTTTGAAAAAATTCCAAAGTTGATTTATTAAGAATTTTACAAGGATTTTTTTAAAAATTCATAATTCTGTTTCTGAGGCTAAGATTCACTTCAGATTTATTATATTTAAAGAAGAAACCTCAATTATGAATTCCTGGAAGTTTCAAGTTGCTGAGATTCCTGAAAGTATTTTTGAAAAAAATTCCAAAGTTGATTTATTAAGAATTTTACAAGGATTTTTTTAAAAATTCATAATTCTGTTTCTGAGGCTCAGATTGACTTCAGATTTATTATATTTAAAGAAGAAACCTCAATTATGAATTCCTGGAAGGTTTCAAGTTGCTGAGATTCCTGAAAGTATTTTTGAAAAAATTCCAAAGTTGATTTATTAAGAATTTTACAAGGATTTTTTTTAAAAATTCATAATTCTGTTTCTGAGGCTCAGATTGACTTCAGAATTATTATATTTAAGGAAGAAACCTCAATTATGAATTCCTAGAAGTTTCAAGTTGCTCAGATTCCTGAAAGTATTTTTGAAAAAATTCCAAAGTTGATTTATTAAGAATTTTACAAGGATTTTTTTAAAAATTCATAATTCTGTTTCTGAGGCCTCAGATTGACTTCAGAATTATTATATTTAAGGAAGATACTTCAATTATGAATTCCTGGAAGTTTCAAGCTGCTCAGATTCCTAGAAATATTTTTGAAAAAATTCAAAGGTGATTTGTTAAAAATTTTACAAGGATTTTTTAAAAAATTCATAATTCCGTTTCTGAGGCTCAGATTCACTTCAGATTTATTATATTTAAAGAAGAGACCTCAATTATGAATTCCTAGAAGTTTCAAGTTGTTGAGATTCCTGGAAGTATTTTTGAAAAAATTCCAAAGTTGATTTATTAAGAATTTTACAAGGATTTTTTTAAAAATTCATAATTCTGTTTCTGAGGCTCAGATTGACTTCAGAATTATTATATTTAAGGAAGATACTTCAATTATGAATTCCTGAAAGTTTCAAGTTGCTCAGATTCCTGAAAGTATTTTTGAAAAAATTCCAAAGTTGATTTATTAAGAATTTTACAAGGATTTTTTTAAAAATTCATAATTCTGTTTCTGAGGCTCAGACCCCCTTTGAATTCTGATTTCAAAATATTCAAACCTCAATTGCTCACTACCCGTCAAGCAAATTGCATTGAAATTTAAAGAAGTTGTAGCTTTTATTAGGTTCTAAATGGCCTGTCATTTACAATATTCTCAGATTTATAGTTTTTGAGTAAATTGAATTTGAAGTTTTTGACAAAAATTTGGACTAAAAGTCAACTTTGAGGCTCAATTACTCAAAAACCATTTGAGGTATCAAACTCAATTTTCCACAGATTTATAGAGAATTTAATGCTCTTTCCAATGGTGTATGATTTGTTACTTAAAATTTATCAAAGATATGGGCAATTGTTCATGACCATGTCAAGATTTTGAATATTACCACAATCAAAAAACCTTCCTTCATTCTGTGAAAATTTCAGCTTGTAACTTGTAAAAATTTAAAACTTTCTAATTGAAAATATTCTTAAGGATGACCCAAATGAAAGACTCTAACAACGAAATGCCTAAAGATTTCGATAACGAAATCCACAAGTGGGCCTTGGAATGTATAGGCCTGGTATCTTTGGATGTAAGATTAGGCTGCCTGGATCCTAATTTGTCCCCAAACTCTGAAGCATTGAAAATAATCCAGGCTGCAAAATATGCCTTGAGAAACATTGCAATATTAGAATTGAGGTTTCCTTTTTGGAGATTTTTCCCCACGACATTGTGGACTAAATACGTGAAAAATATGGACTATTTTGTTGAGTAAGTTGTTACAACTTGAATTATTTATTTGCTTATTAAACTTATAATAGAATTTGTATGAAACATATAGATGCGGCAATGGAAAGACTAAAAACCAAAACAGTGAAAAACGAAAATGATTTATCATTAATAGAGCGCATTTTAGCTAAGGAACCAGATCCAAAAACTGCTTATATTTTAGCTTTGGATTTGATTCTTGTAGGAATTGATACTGTAAGTAGAATTATATTAAAATCAAAATAATTTTATATTAGTTTTTTGTAGATATCTATGGCAGTTTGTTCAATTTTGTACCAACTAGCAACCAGGCCAGAACAACAAGAAAAACTATACCAAGAGCTTAAACAAGTCCTACCAAACAATGAACCACTAACACCCGAAAAACTAAACCAAATGCTTTATTTAAAAGCCTTTGTAAAAGAGGTTTTTAGAATGTATTCAACAGTAATTGGAAATGGAAGAACCTTACAAGAAGATTCAGTTTTGTTAGGCTACAAAGTCCCTAAAGGTGTTCAAGTAGTTTTTCCCACTTTAATAACAGGAAGTATGAGCGAATATGTCACAAAACCTCAAGAATTCAAACCAGAAAGATGGCTAAAATCGAATATTGAAGAAAAAATCCATCCATTTGCCTCTTTGCCTTATGGTTATGGAGCTAGGATGTGTTTAGGAAGAAGGTTTGCTGATTTAGAGATACAAGTTTTATTAGCAAAAGTAATAGGAATATTGATTGTCTCAAGGGAATTTTCATGATTGTTTTTTTTTTTTAGTTAATTAGATCCTATAAATTGGAATATTTGCACAAGCCTTTGGATTATAAAGTGACGTTTATGTACGCCCCTGATGGAGAATTGAAATTTAAGATATCTAAAAGAAATGAATAAAGTATTGAGTATAAAGTTTGAGAATTTTCCTTTGGGATTTAAGAGGGGTTTTGTTTCAAATTTATTTATTTTGAAATTTTGGTTCCAATAATGTGGTTGTTATCCATAAGAAGATTAATTTGAAATTCCAATATGTATACCTAATTGGCTTGTGAGCTTCTTGGAAATTCTAGCTTTTGAGAGGGAGTTTCTATTGAAAACATACTTTATGGTTAATTTTCAAAGTTTATGCACACGAACTTTCCATGTGATTATTGGATGCATTTGAAATTCTAGTATAATGGGCTTGTAACCTTCCTCTTTCGATACTGAAAGTTTCAAAATGTTCTCTTTCAATAGTTCTTTGGAAAAATATAAAAGTGCAAAAAGATGTTCCTATTCATATTAATTTCGTTGGTCATTTTCATAATCTAAGCTCCAAAACTTTTCATGTGATTGTTGGATTCATTTGAAATTCTAGTAAAATGCCGCTTCTAACTTTCCTTTTTCTATACTAAAAGTTTGAGAGAAACTCCGAAAAAATCTGCAAGTGCTTCTAATAAAAGAATAGGTACCCGTATTTTTGTCCAAATTTCAACATTATCAACTTTGAGGCTTTTACGATATTTGATCTTTGGGGCCTCATATCTCGGAAACTATTCAAGATATAGAAATGAATTTCATTTCATCTGGTAGAGCATTCAATTCTGATTCAGAATCATCAATTATTGTACATTGGAATTTGTAAAATATTATCAGAGTCATAAGGGATTTTGTTAGACTATGACGAAATTTGCATACATTGTTTTTCTGAATAAAATTTTTCAATGTAACCGATGTTGGAGTTGTTTTTAAGTAATTTGAGCTCGCTATATTGGTGTAAATTGAAAAAATTTAAATTTTGTTGCATTTTTTCCTAAGGGGTACCCTTTGGATTTTCGTTCCCAATCTTCAAACCTCGATATCTCGGTAACCAAAAGCGGTATTAAGACAAAATTTTCAATAATTGTAGCTCTTTATACTGGCTTTAAAATGGTATTTAGCTGAAACCGCTAGTATTTGTGGTTTTTGAGAAAATCGACTTGAAGTTTTGGACAAAATTTTGACTAAATTTCAACTTTGAGGCTCAATATCTCGGCAACTCCTACAAGTTATGAAAACCAATTTTACATAGCCTAATAGAGAATTTAATGCTCTTTTCCAATGATGTATAATTATATAGGATTTTCTCAAATTTCATCGAAGAGATGAGCAATTAACCATGACCAAGTCAGAAGTTAAAAAAAATTCTTGAGCCAAAAATGAGATTTCCTTTCGGATTTTTTTTATCGCTGAAATTTTCAAATGTAAACGATGTTAGAGTTGTTTCTGGGTAATTTGAGCTCGCTCTATAAATTTATGAAGTCAAAATTGAGAAAAACTAAAAAATAAAAATTTTCACACTTTTTTCCTTTGGATTTTCATTCCCAAATCTTCAAACCCCGATATCTCGATAACCAAAAGCGGTACTGGGACAAAATTTGAAATACTTGTAGCTCTGGATAAGAGCTTTAAGATGGTACTTAGTTGAACTTGCTAGCGTTTCTAGTTTTTGAGAAAATCGACTTTGAAGTTTTGGACAAAATTTCGAGTAAATTTTAACTTTGAGGCTCAATATCTCGGAGACTTTTTGAGCTATGAGAACCAATTTTACATGGCCTAATAGAGAATTTAATGCTTTTTCCAATGATGTATAATTGTATAGCATTTGCTCAAATGTCATCGAAGAGATGAGCAATTAATCATGACTGAGTCAGAATCTTAAAAGAATTCTTGAGCCAAAAACGAGATTTCCTTTTGGATTTTTTTTCTCATGGAAATTTCCATATGCAAACGATGTTAGAGTTGTTTCTGGGTAATTTGAGGTCGCTCTATCGATTTATAAAGTCAAAATTGAGAAAAACTCAAAAATAAAAATTTTCAATTTTTTACACTTTTTCCTAAGGGGTACGTACCCCTTTGGATTTTCATTCTCAAATCTTCAAACCCCGATATTTCGATAACCAAGAGCGGTACTGGGACAAAATTTTCAGTACTTGTAGCTCTGGACAAGAGCTTTAAGATGGTACTTAGTTGAACTTGCTAGCGTTTCTAGTTTTTGAGAAAATCGACTTTGAAGTTTTGGACAAAATTTCGAGTAAATTTCAACTTTGAGGCTCAATATCTCGGAGACTTTTTGAGCTATAAGAACCAATTTTACATGGCCTAATAGAGAATTTAATGCACTTTCCAATGATGTATAATTGTATAGCATTTGCTCAAATGTCATCGAAGAGATGAGCAATTAATCATGACTGAGTCAGAATCTTAAAAGAATTCTTGAGCCAAAAACGAGATTTCCTTTTGGATTTTTTTTCTCATGGAAATTTCCATATGCAAACGATGTTAGAGTTGTTTCTGGGTAATTTGAGGTCGCTCTATCGATTTATAAAGTCAAAATTGAGAAAAACTCAAAAATAAAAATTTTCAATTTTTTACACTTTTTCCTAAGGATTCCGTTCTCGTTTACCAGCTTTCGTGGAAAATTTCCTACAAGAGCCGGGAATAACAAAATATTGATCATTCTGTATCTTTATACAGTGGCTTATTTTGGATGAATTAAATTACAGTGGGTGAAATTGTTGTCTATTACTGGTTCTTGTGAAAGATTTTCTACCTTAAGTGCCAGAGATAATGAAATATTCATCACCCTGTATCTTTACACAGTGGTGAAATTGTTCTCGTTTACCAGCTTTCATGGAAAATTTCCTACAAGAGCTGGGAATAACAAAATATTGATCATTCTGTATTTTTATACAGTGGCTTATTTTGGTTGAGTCAAATTACAGTGGATAAAATTGTTATCTATTACTGGTTCTCGTGAAAGATTTTCTACCTTAAGAGCCAGAGATAATGAAATATTGATTACCCCGTATCTTTACACAGTGGTGAAATTGTTCTCGTTTACCAGCTTTCGTGGAAAATTTCCTACAAGAGCCGGGAATAACAAAATATTGATCATTCTGTATCTTTATACAGTGGCTTATATACACAAAGAACCCTTGGATACTCTACATATAGACCACTTTTGTGAAAAGCAAGCGAGGCAACATGTACCTCATCGTTTCTGTGGATCCTTCCACCAACTATGTTTTCATGAAAGCAATGGAAAACACCAAAAGCTTGCTAGTGATTTATTTTTCTAAAAGATATCTTCCATACTTTTGGTGTGTCAAGAAGGATAATTTGTAAGTAAGGAATTTAAGAAATATGCAACTGAAATTGGAGTAAAGATTGTGTATAATGCCACAAAGATGATACCTGGGATCAAACATTATATATAGGATCAGATTTGGAATCACACATCTGTAAATAAAGCTACAAGAAAAAGCCCTCATGAGATGCTTTTTGGTTACCAACTCAGAGGAGTTAACGATGCATTTTTAACTACTGCAATTTGTATAGACCCTTTTGGGTCTATACAAACTCGATACTGGCCAAAAGTAATGTTTTACCAAAGCGGCTTTTTCAAAAACTAAAACTTTGGTTAGCTATACAAATGACAAAATAGCTGTTATATAGGTGAAGCAGAAGTGAAATGTCATATTGATAAAATCTTAGTAGAGATAATATTACATTAATAATACATTAGCCACTGAAAAACATGGAAGATATTTCAGCATAAATACGTGGAGCCAAATATTTTACACTTTTAGATTGCAAACGAGGGTTTTGGCAAATAAAAGTTGCAGAGCAGTCTCAAAAAATATTTCACGTTTTCAACACCATGGGGGCGTTATAGTTGCACTCGTCTACTATTTGGAATCTGTTCAGCACCAGAGGTATTTCAACAAATAATCAGTTCCTTGGTAAAAAACATTCCAAATACTCACTGCTTAATGGACGATATTCTTATTAATTCTGACTCTCAAGAAAATGTAGAAAAAATTACTAAAAACTCAATAAGGAAAAATGCATTCTCAATGTTAACAGACATAAGTTTCTTGGCCATATTTCATCGGAAAATGGTATTGAAATTATTCATACCAAAATGGAAGCTATCAAAAACTTAGAGACATCAACAAATATAACAGAACTGCAAAGGTTGTTAGGCATGATAACATATTTAAATAAATTATACCAAATATGTCTGAGCTTACAGATCCTTTGCAAAAGCTTCTAAAAAGAGATGTTGAATTTATTTGGGATATAGAACAACACGAAGCTTTCCGAGACAATGTCATAGAGTGAGTTGTGTCATATGACAATAGATAACAAAATTCAACTGGCTGTTAGAACTGTCAAAAAAATTTCTTTATAAAAGTATAACTTATTGTTACAGTCATTTTCATAGCTTAAGCCCAAGAACTTTTGATGTGGTTGTTGGATCCATTTGAAATTCTAGTATAATGGACTTCTAATAACCTTCTTCTTTCTATACTGAAAGTTTCAAAAGGTTCTCCTCAATAGTTTTTTTTGGAAAAATATGTGTAATACTTAATAATATAATATAATTTTGTAAAACATTTTCAAAAAGAATTTTTCATGAGCCTGGTTTTCATTGGATCAATTTGAAATTTTAGTATGAATAAGTTCCCATGCAACCTACCTCTTTCTACTCCAGAAGTTCCAAAATTTTTCTCCATTGTCCAAATATATCCTATTCACAATCTGTAGTCCAAATGTACAAGTAAATTTATCACCTTTCTCTATTAAATAGCATTAAAAGGTGATAAATTTTACCTGTACCTTTGAACTACAGATTGTGAATAGATGATAGATACTTTTCATAATCTAAACTTTCACCCTTCCCCTTTCTATTTCAGAAGTTTAAAAATTTTCCCCTTTAAAGAATTTGAAACTTCTAAACTAGAAAAAGGCAAGCAAAAAGCCAAATTACTATTGCAGTCATTTTTAGGGCAGGTATTTATAAAACTATTTTGACAGAGATAACTAAAATTTAACTTCTAATTATGCTGTCAAAATAGTTTCATAAATACCCGCCCTTAGTAGACCAAAAAATCAACTAAAAATTCAAAAATGTCCAAAAATAAAACCCATTTAAAATATAATTTATATTACTCTTGTCTGTATAATTTATTTACAACAAATATATTTTTTAACAAGTGATACAGTAGAACCCCGATTATCCGAACTCTAGAGTCAATCTAAAGACCCAAAGATCCTCATTATCGGAGGTACACGCGTCTATACTCCGTATTAACCAAGTTTCTAAAATATACAGTGCATACATATGGACCAACGTGAAATTCTCTTGAATTATGGTTTGTGTGTATTTATGTTTTTGGACTCTTCTCACCCTTTTAGCATGTAAATTTGCGTAAATCTGGATTATCCGAGTAGTACCACGTTACCTCGAATAACTGGGGTTCTACTGTAATAATATCAGTTTCTTCTACAGCTACAGCTGGAATTATTTCTAGACATTCATTTCATCTACAAATCGATAAAATATTATTGACTTTAAGATTCTACTTTGTAGGTATCGCCCTTCTGTAGAGCAAGAAGGGACCATGTAAGAAAATCTTCTGTATATTTATACATGAGTTTATGTATATGTGCCACTAGTGTCACCTTTTTACACAAAACAGTGAAGATGTTATGGTGAAAATTGTCCTTTTTTGCTCTACAAAAACGTTATATTCTCTTTAGGCCTCATTTTTTTGATTCTAGCAAACAAGGCATTTTCTCTGTCGAAAAATATTAACCCAATAAATTATTTTGGCACTAGAATTTAGCACTCAAAAATTTAATTAAATAATAAAAAAGAATCTTTACAATTTGTACATCATTATTTTTCCCCCATTGATTTAAATATACTAATGATGAAGCCATATATTGAAAAATATTATTTAAAAATTAAATAACAATAATCGAAGAAGGATATATGAGGCTTCATATATATTAGGTTTGTTCCAACCTGTCACAAAACCATCCTAGAACGGTTTGCGCAGAATCCTGACGGTATAATTGGGTTGGAACAAAACTATTTAATTGTTAGTTTTTTAAACTTTGAAATATTATTGCCCATATTATTATTTTAATAATTAAAATGCATCTTAATACTTTTTCCACACACAACCAAATAATTAAATAATACAAAAAAAAAAATAACAATTATTAAAAATATAGAGAAAGAGGCTGCTTACGGCGAAACCGCTTCGACATAATTGGCAGGGTAAAGACCTACCCTGCCGTCTTTGCGACCTTTGCACCAGCCTTGCTCGTCCTCGTCCTCTAATTTTTCAAAAATCTCACCTAAATGGAAAGAAAAAATAGGATAGATATAGTATTTTTCATAATAATTGGTTCAAAAATTCTAAGCAATTATATTGTGAAAAATACTTTAAATAAATGAAAAATTACCTGTTTTGAAGCTGAGTTCGTCGTTTTCGGCACCTTCGTAGTCGTATAAGGCCTTGACAGGCACTCCAGGTTCACCATTATCTACTAATGCATCGTTTTCCCAGTCTTCTTCTTCAAATGGGTTGGATTCGTTTGGTTTTGATGTTGAACCATTGCTGGAAAAAATTTGAATCGTTATTTTTGTGTATAACAGGCTTTAAATTTTGGTTAAAGTAGCTTCAAGATTAAGTGTTAACTGTCTTTGCATCATTTTTGAGAGCTAGAATAGCTTTCTGAAGCTCTGATTTTTGTTCATGTTTAGGTTATTAATTGCCTAATAATGATAATTACTTCAAATTCTGATGTTTCTCCCAAAAACTGTTAAAAAGAAAATTTTCTTCTGGAGTAATTAGAGCAAGATTAGAGGCCTATTATTATCAAAATTATTACTAATTTGAAAAAAGATGCCAGGAGCTAAGATTTTTACCGAATTAAATTACATAAAGACAGTCAACTTTTAACAACATTTCACGCTGGCAATTTTGGTAGATATGCTTATAAAAGGGTTCCTTCTGGGCTTTGTTAGGCGCCTGAAGTATTTCACCAAAAAATTAAAGAATATTTTTGAAGGTCGTAACTTTTTTTCTATTATAGATAGAAAGCTGAATCTTTCACTGAATTTTATCCCTTTCAAAAGACTACAATCCCTGAAAATTTCAGCTCATTTGCACTTATAGTTCCTGAGATAAAATAGTGTTAAGCAATTTGGGGTGATTTATCAATTTTTCAATTTTTCTGAGTGCCTTTTTTCATAGATTTCGGCTTCAAATGTGAGAATAATTTAGTGTATGGAATTTGGGGGATGTTGATTGACCATAAGGATACAAAATCTCGACAAAAAAAAATTTGAAATTTTATCGTTTTAGTAAGAAGGTACCTACCTTATGATTTAGATTTTGGGAAACTTTGAAAGGTCATAACTTTTTTTCTATTATAGATAGAAAGATGAAACTTTCACTGAATTTTATCCCTTTCAAAGGACTACAATCCCTGAAAATTTCAGCTCATTTGCACTTATAGTTCCTGAGATAAAATTGTGTTAAGCAATTTGGGGTGATTTATCAATTTTTCTGAGTGCCTTTTTTCATAGATTTCGGCTTCAAATCTGAGAATAATTTAGTGTATGGAGTTTGGGGGATGTTGATTGACCATAAGGATACAAAATCTCGACAAAAAAAAATTTGAAATTTATCGTTTTAGTAAGAAGGTACCTACCTTATGATTTAGATTTTGGGAAACTTTGAAAGGTCATAACTTTTTTTCTATTATAGATAGAAAGATGAAACTTTCACTGAATTTTATCCCTTTCAAAGACTACAATCCCTGAAAATTTCAGCTCATTTGCACTTATAGTTCCTGAGATAAAATTGTGTTAAGCAATTTGGGGTGATTTATCAATTTTTCTGAGTGCCTTTTTTCATAGATTTCGGCTTCAAATCTGAGAATAATTAGTGTATGGAGTTTGGGGGATGTTGATTGACCATAAGGATACAAAATCTCGACAAAAAAAAATTTGAAATTTTATCGTTTTAGTAAGAAGGTACCTACCTTATGATTTAGATTTTGGGAAACTTTGAAAGGTCATAACTTTTTTTCTATTATAGATAGAAAGCTGAAACTTTCACTGAATTTTATCCCTTTCAAAGGACTACAATCTCTGAAAATTTCAACTCATTTGCACTTATAGTTCCTGAGATAAAATCGTGTTAAGCAATTTGGGGTGATTTATCAATTTTTCAATTTTTCTGAGTGCCTTTTTTCATAGATTTCGGCTTCAAATCTGAGAATAATTTAGTGTATGGAATTTGGGGGATGTTGATTGACCATAAGGATACAAAATCTCGACAAAAAAAAAATTTGAAATTTTATCGTTTTAGTAAGAAGGTACCTACCTTATGATTTAGATTTTGGGAAACTTTGAAAGGTCATAACTTTTTTTCTAATATAGATAGAAAGATGAAACTTTCACTGAATTTTATCCCTTTCAAAGGACTACAATCACTGAAAATTTCAGCTCATTTGCACTTATAGTTCCTGAGATAAAATCGTGTTAAGCAATTTGGGTGATTTATCAATTTTTCAGTTTTTCTGAGTGCCTTTTTTCATAGATTTCGGCTTCAAATGTGAGAATAATTTAGTGTATGGAGTTTGGGGGATGTTGATTGACCATAAGGATACAAAATCTCGACAAAAAAAAATTTGAAATTTTATCGTTTTAGTAAGAAGGTACCTACCTTATGATTTAGATTTTGGGAAACTTTGAAAGGTCATAACTTTTTTCTATTATAGATAGAAAGCTGAATCTTTCACTGAATTTTATCCCTTTCAAAGGACTACAATCCCTGAAAATTTCAGCTCATTTGCACTTATAGTTTCCTGAGATAAAATCGTGTTAAGCAATTTGGGGTGATTTATCAATTTTTCAGTTTTTCTGAGTGCCTTTTTTCATAGATTTCGGCTTCAAATCTGAGAATAATTTAGTGTATGGAGTTTGAGGGATGTTGATTGACCATAAGGATACAAAATATCGACAAAAAAAAATATTGAAATTTTATCGTTTTAGTAAGAAGGTACCTACCTTATGATTTAGATTTTGGGAAACTTTGAAAGGTCATAACTTTTTTTCCATTATAGATAGAAAGCTGAATCTTTCACTGAATTTTATCCCTTTCAAAGGACTACAATCCCTGAAAATTTCAGCTCATTTGCACTTATAGTTCCTGAGATAAAATCGTGTTAAGCAATTTGGGGTGATTTATCAATTTTTCAATTTTTCTGAGTGCCTTTTTCATAGATTTCGGCTTCAAATCTGAGAATAATTTAGTGTATGGAGTTTGGCGGATGTTGATTGACCATAAGGATACAAAATCTCGACAAAAAAAAATTTGAAATTTTATCGTTTTAGTAAGAAGGTACCTACCTTATGATTTAGATTTTGGGAAACTTTGAAAGGTCATAACTTTTTTTCTATTATAGATAGAAAGCTGAATCTTTCACTGAATTTTATCCCTTTCAAAGGACTACAATCTCTGAAAATTTCAACTCATTTGCACTTATAGTTCCTGAGATAAAATCGTGTTAAGCAATTTGGGGTGATTTATCAATTTTTCAGTTTTTCTGAGTGCCTTTTTTTATAGATTTCGGCTTCAAATCTGAGAATAATTTAGTGTATGGAGTTTGGCGGATGTTGATTGACCATAAGGATACAAAATCTCGACAAAAAAAAATTTGAAATTTTATCGTTTTAGTAAGAAGGTACCTACCTTATGATTTAGATTTTGGGAAACTTTGAAAGGTCATAACTTTTTTTCTAATATAGATAGAAAGATGAAACTTTCACTGAATTTTTATCCCTTTCAAAGGACTACAATCACTGAAAATTTCAGCTCATTTGCACTTATAGTTCCTGAGATAAAATCGTGTTAAGCAATTTGGGGTGATTTATCAATTTTTCAGTTTTTCTGAGTGCCTTTTTTTATAGATTTCGGCTTCAAATCTGAGAATAATTTAGTGTATGGAGTTTGGCGGATGTTGATTGACCATAAGGATACAAAATCTCGACAAAAAAAAATTTGAAATTTTATCGTTTTAGTAAGAAGGTACCTACCTTATGATTTAGATTTTGGGAAACTTTGAAAGGTCATAACTTTTTTTCTAATATAGATAGAAAGATGAAACTTTCACTGAATTTTATCCCTTTCAAAGGACTACAATCACTGAAAATTTCAGCTCATTTGCACTTATAGTTCCTGAGATAAAATCGTGTTAAGCAATTTGGGGTGATTTATCAATTTTTCAGTTTTTCTGAGTGCCTTTTTTCATAGATTTCGGCTTCAAATGTGAGAATAATTTAGTGTATGGAGTTTGGGGGATGTTGATTGACCATAAGGATACAAAATCTCGACAAAAAAAAATTTGAAATTTTATCGTTTTAGTAAGAAGGTACCTACCTTATGATTTAGATTTTGGGAAACTTTGAAAGGTCATAACTTTTTTTCTATTATAGATAGAAAGCTGAATCTTTCACTGAATTTTATCCCTTTCAAAGGACTACAATCCCTGAAAATTTCAGCTCATTTGCACTTATAGTTCCTGAGATAAAATCGTGTTAAGCAATTTGGGGTGATTTATCAATTTTTCAGTTTTTCTGAGTGCCTTTTTTCATAGATTTCGGCTTCAAATCTGAGAATAATTTAGTGTATGGAGTTTGAGGGATGTTGATTGACCATAAGGATACAAAATCTCGACAAAAAAAAATATTGAAATTTTATCGTTTTAGTAAGAAGGTACCTACCTTATGATTTAGATTTTGGGAAACTTTGAAAGGTCATAACTTTTTTTCCATTATAGATAGAAAGCTGAATCTTTCACTGAATTTTATCCCTTTCAAAGGACTACAATCCCTGAAAATTTCAGCTCATTTGCACTTATAGTTCCTGAGATAAAATCGTGTTAAGCAATTTGGGGTGATTTATCAATTTTTCAATTTTTCTGAGTGCCTTTTTTCATAGATTTCGGCTTCAAATCTGAGAATAATTTAGTGTATGGAGTTTGGCGGATGTTGATTGACCATAAGGATACAAAATCTCGACAAAAAAAAATTTGAAATTTTATCGTTTTAGTAAGAAGGTACCTACCTTATGATTTAGATTTTGGGAAACTTTGAAAGGTCATAACTTTTTTTCTATTATAGATAGAAAGCTGAATCTTTCACTGAATTTTATCCCTTTCAAAGGACTACAATCTCTGAAAATTTCAACTCATTTGCACTTATAGTTCCTGAGATAAAATCGTGTTAAGCAATTTGGGGTGATTTATCAATTTTTCAGTTTTTCTGAGTGCCTTTTTTTATAGATTTCGGCTTCAAATCTGAGAATAATTTAGTGTATGGAGTTTGGCGGATGTTGATTGACCATAAGGATACAAAATCTCGACAAAAAAAAATTTGAAATTTTATCGTTTTAGTAAGAAGGTACCTACCTTATGATTTAGATTTTGGGAAACTTTGAAAGGTCATAACTTTTTTTCCATTATAGATAGAAAGCTGAATCTTTCACTGAATTTTATCCCTTTCAAAGGACTACAATCCCTGAAAATTTCAGCTCGTTTGCACTTA